TCTTCTGACCCGTGATTCCTCTGCGGTTTGTGGCAGGGAGATCCTACCACATCAGGCTTTCCCACTGGAGAAGGGCTGCTAGATACAGACTATGAGCAGATTCAGGATTAAAAGAGCAATGTGGAAAATCTATGCCGTGACCCGAGAGAGATGAAAGGCGGTTGCTGCAGACACAAAGCGAAGTAACGACCATCATAAGATGCACCCTGCAATCTGACTGATATCTGGCAGAAAAGCAGTTGCTGGTTGGAAAACAGGACTTAGAACTCTGTCCCTTGCCCATCATGAGGATAGGCAAAGCAAAGCAGATATTTTAGGTTAAGCACTATTTCCCATACCGGGAGTTGAACCCGGGCCACCTGGGTGAAAACCAGGAATCCTAACCGCTAGACCATATGGGACCCCAGATTTGTTACTTGTTTATAAAGGAAGGAACCAGTATGGTCAGCCTCAGTGCAACTAGACTTCAACCTGCTAAACTCGAACTTTGTGTCAGTTAAACAGGGCCATTATCCATGCTATTGGATGAAAAGGAGAAAGCCGAGCCAGCCAGGAGTCGAACCTAGAATCTTCTGATCCGTAGTCGAGACGCGTTATCCATTGCGCCGCGCCGCCCACGTTTTACTGCGCACAATACAAGCGGCTCCACATGACTCTGTGGTTAGGAGAGTTCTCATTATGCCCGAACAAGAACCTGGATGAAGCTGAGTCTACAGTCCCAACGTTACTCTACAGGTTGAGTCAGGGAGATCTTACCACATCAGAATGTTTTACACTGGAGAATGGCTGCTAGGTACAAACTAGGACCATATTCAGAGTAAAAAGAGCAACACGGAAAGGTCCATGCCGTGACCCGGATTCGAACCGGGGGTTGCTGCGGCCACAACGCAGAGTACTAACCACTATACGATCACGGCTTCTCAAGTCAGTGGGTTTGGTAAAGTTGTTATAAAACAATCTCTGTGCTGAAGCTTGGGGCAAAGTAGGTACAAACTACAAACTAGGACCATATTCAGAGTAAAGGCGCATACTGGGATAGAGAGATACCGTCCCTTTTCGCTTTCCCAGTGGCAACGTTCACAACCATGCAGAGCTTTGAATTCGTGGATGTCAATAAACAGCTTTCTCCAGAACTTTAGGTGGGGTAAAGAGAGAGCCTGGTCAGCCCGGGATGGAAAGCTGAGTCTTCTGACCCGTGATTCCTCTGCGGTTTGTGTCGGGGAGATCCTACCACATCAGGCTTTCCCACTGGAGAAGGGCTGCTAGATACAGACTATGAGCAGATTCAGATTAAAAAGGCAATGTGGAAAATCTATGCCGTGACCTGGAGATGAAAGGCGGTTGCTGCAGACACAAACGAAGTAAGCGACCATCATAAGATGCACCCTGCAATCTGACTGATATCTGGCAGAAAAGCAGTTGCTGGTTGGAAAACAGGACTTAGAACTCTGTCCCTTGCCCATCATGAGGATAGGCAAAGCAAAGCAGAAATTTTAGATTAAGCACTATTTCCCATACCGGGAGTTGAACCCGGCCACCTGGGTGAAAACCAGGAATCCTAACCGCTAGACCATATGGGACCCCTGATTTGTTACTTGTTTATAAAGGAAGGAACCAGTATGGTCAGCCTCAGTGCAAATGAACTGCAACACTGTAACTCGATCTTTGTGTCAGTTAAACAGCGCCATTATCCATGATATTGGATGAAAAGGAGAAAGCCGAGCCAGCCAGGAGTCGAACCTAGAATCTTCTGATCCGTAGTCTGGCGCGTTATCCATTGCGCCACTGGCCCACGGTTACCTTGCGCACAATACAAGCATGGCTCCACATGACTCTGTGGTTAGGAGCGTTCTCATTTTGCCCGAAAAAGAACCTGGATGAAGCTGAGTCTTCTGTCCCAACATTACTCTACAGGTTGAGTCAGGGAGATCTTACCACATCAGAATGTTTTACACTGGAGAATGGCTGCTAGGTACAAACTAGGACCATATTCAGAGTAAAGAGGCAACACGGAAAGGTCCATGCCGTGACCCGGATTCGAACCGGGGTTGCGGGACAACCGCGCGAGTACTAACCACTATACGATCACGGCTTCTCAAGTCAGTGGGTTTGGTAAAGTTGTTATAAAACAATCTCTGTGCTGAAGCTTGGGGCAAAGTAGGTACAAACTACAAACTAGGACCATATTCAGAGTAAAAGAGCATACTGGGATAGAGAGATACCGTCCCTTTTCGCTTTCCCAGTGGCAACGTTCACAACCATACAGAGCTTTGAATTCGTGGATGTCAATAAACAGCTTTCTCCAGAACTTTAGGTGGGGTAAGAGAGAGCCTGGTCAGCCCGGGATGGAAAGCTGAGTCTTCTGACCCGTGATTCCTCTGCGGTTTGTGTCAGGGAGATCCTACCACATCAGGCTTTCCCACTGGAGAAGGGCTGCTAGATACAGACTATGAGCAGATTCAGATTAAAAGAGCACTGTGGAAAATCTATGCCGTGACCCGGAGATGAAAGGCGGTTGCTGCAGACACAAAGCGAAGTAACGACCATCATAAGATGCACCCTGCAATCTGACTGATATCTGGCAGAAAAGCAGTTGCTGGTTGGAAAACAGGTCTTAGAACTCTGTCCCGTGCCCATCATGAGGATAGGCAAAGCAAAGCAGAAATTTTAGGTTAAACACTATTTCCCATACCGGGAGTTGAACCCGGGCCACCTGGGAGAATACCAGGAATCTAACCGCTAGACCATATGGGACCCAAGATTTGTTACTTGTTTATAAAGGAAGGAACCAGTATGGTCAGCCTCAGTGCAACTGAACTGCAACAATGTAACTCGATCTTTGTGTCAGTTAAACAGCGCCATTATCCATGATATTGGATGAAAAGGAGAAAGCCGAGCCAGCCAGGAGTCGAACCTAGAATCTTCTGATCCGTACTCAGACGCGTTATCCATTGCGCCACTGGCCCACGGTTACCTTGCGCACAATACAAGCATGGCTCCACATGACTCTGTGGTTAGGAGAGTTCTCATAATGCCCAAAAAAGAACCTGGATGAAGCTGAGTCTTCTGTCCCAACGTTACTCTACAGGTTGAGTCAGGGAGATCTTACCACATCAGAATGTTTTAAACTGGAGAATGGCTGCTAGGTACAAAGCAGGACCATATTCAGAGTAAAAGAGCAACACGGAAAGGTCCATGCCGTGACCCGGATTCGAACCTGTGTTGCTGCGGTCACAACGCAGAGTACTAACCACTATACGATCACGGCTTCCCACGTCATTGCGTTTGGTAAAGTTGTTATAAAACAATCTCCGTGCTGAAGCATGGGGCAAAGGGGTCACACGTTCTGACTGGGATAGAGAGATACCATCTCTTTTTCGCTTTCCCAGTGGCAACGTTCACAACCATGCAGAGCTTTGAATTCGTGGATGTCAATAAACAGCTTTCTCCAGAACTTTAGGTGGGGTAAGAGAGAGCCTGGTCAGCCCGGGATGGAAAGCTGAGTCTTCTGACCCGTGATTCCTCTGCGGTTTGTGTCAGGGAGATCCTACCACATCAGGCTTTCCCACTGGAGAAGGGCTGCTAGATACAGACTATGAGCAGATTCAGATTAAAAGAGCAATGTGGAAAATCTATGCCGTGACCCGGAGATGAAAGGCGGTTGCTGCAGACACAAAGCGAATGCGACCATCATAAGATGCACCCTGCAATCTGACTGATATCTGGCAGAAAAGCAGTTGCTGGTTGGAAAACAGGACTTAGAACTCTGTCCCTTGCCCATCATGAGGATAGGCAAAGCAAGCAGAAATTTTAGGTTAAACACTATTTCCCATAACGGAGTTGAACCCGGGCCACCTGGGTGAAAACCAGGAATCCTAACCGCTAGACCATATGGGACCCCTGATTTGTTACTTGTTTATAAAGGAAGGAACCAGTATGGTCAGCCTCAGTGCAACTGAACTGCAACACTGTAACTCGAACTTTGTGTCAGTCAAACAGGGCCATTATCCATGCTATTGGATGAAAAGGAGAAAGCCGAGCCAGCCAGGAGTCGAACCTAGAATCTTCTGATCCGTAGTCAGACGCGTTATCCATTGCGCCCACTGGCCCACGGTTACCGCGCACACTACAAGCACGCGCTCCACATGACTCTGTGGTTAGGAGAGTTCTCATTATGCCCGAACAAAAACCTGGATGAAGCTGAGTCTACAGTCCCAACGTTACTCTACAGGTTGAGTCAGGGAGATCTTACCACATCAGAATGTTTTACACTGGAGAATGGCTGCTAGGTACAAACTAGGACCATATTCAGAGTAAAAGAGCAACACGGAAAGGTCCATGCCGTGACCCGGATTCGAACCGGGGTTGCTGCGGCCTAACGCAGAGTACTAACCACTATACGATCACGGCTTCTCAAGTCAGTGGGTTTGGTAAAGTTGTTATAAAACAATCTCTGTGCTGAAGCTTGGGGCAAAGTAGGTACAAACTACAAACTAGGACCATATTCAGAGTAAAAGAGCATACTGGGATAGAGAGATAGGTCCCTTTTCGCTTTCCCAGTGGCAACGTTCACAACCATGCAGAGCTTTGAATTCGTGGATGTCAATAAACAGCTTTCTCCAGAACTTTAGGTGGGGTAAGAGAGAGCCTGGTCAGCCCGGGATGGAAAGCTGAGTCTTCTGACCCGTGATTCCTCTGCGGTTTGTGTCAGGGAGATCCTACCACATCAGGCTTTCCCACTGGAGAAGGGCTGCTAGATACAGACTATGAGCAGATTCAGATTAAAAGAGCAATGTGGAAAATCTATGCCGTGACCCGGAGATGAAAGGCGGTTGCTGCAGACACAAAGCGAAGTAACGACCATCATAAGATGCACCCTGCAATCTGACTGACATCTGGCAGAAAAGCAGTTGCTGGTTGGAAAACAGGACTTAGAACTCTGTCCCTTGCCCATCAGGAGGATAGGCAAAGCAAAGCAGAATTTTTAGGTTAAACACTATTTCCCATACCGGGAGTTGAACCCAGGCCATCTGGGTGAAACAAAAACCAGAATCTAACCGCTAGACCATATGGGACCCCAGATTTGTTACTTGTTTATAAAGGAAGGAACCAGTATGGTCAGCCTCAGTGCAACTGAACCGCAACACTGTAACTCGATCTTTGTGTCAGTTAAACAGCGCCATCATCCATGATATTGGATGAAAAGGAGAAAGCCGAGCCAGCCAGGAGTCGATCCTAGAATCTTCTGATCCGTACTCAGACCTTGCACACAATACCTTGCACACAATACAAGCATGGCTCCACATGACTCTGTGGTTAGGAGAGTTCTCATTATGCCCGAAAAAGAACCTGGATGAAGCTGAGTCTTCTGTCCCAACGTTACTCTACAGGTTGAGTCAGGGAGATCTTACCACATCAGAATGTTTTACACTGGAGAATGGGTGCTAGGTACAAACTAGGACCATATTCAGAGTAAAAGAGCAACACGGAAAGGTCCATGCCGTGACCCGGATTCGAACCGGGGTTGCTGCGGCCACAACGCAGAGTACTAACCACTATACGATCACGGCTTCTCAAGTCAGTGGGTTTGGTAAAGTTGTTATAAAACAATCTCTGTGCTGAAGCTTGGGGCAAAGTAGGTACAAACTACAAACTAGGACCATATTCAGAGTAAAAGAGCATACTGGGATAGAGAGATACCGTCCCTTTTCGCGTTCCCAGTGGCAACGTTCACAACCATACAGAGCTTTGAATTCGTGGATGTCAATAAACAGCTTTCTCCAGAACTTTAGGTGGGGTAAGAGAGAGCCTGGTCAGCCCGGGATGGAAAGCTGAGTCTTCTGACCCGTGATTCCTCTGCGGTTTGTGTCAGGGAGATCCTACCACATCAGGCTTTCCCACTGGAGAAGGGCTGCTAGATACAGACTATGAGCAGATTCAGATTAAAAGAGCAATGTGGAAAATCTATGCCGTGACCCGGAGATGAAAGGCGGTTGCTGCAGACACAAAGCGAAGTAACGACCATCATAAGATGCACCCTGCAATCTGACTGACATCTGGCAGAAAAGCAGTTGCTGGTTGGAAAACAGGACTTAGAACTCTGTCCCTTGCCCATCAGGAGGATAGGCAAAGCAAAGCAGAAATTTTAGGTTAAACACTATTTCCCATACCGGGAGTTGAACCCAGGCCATCTGGGTGAAAACCAGGAATCCTAACCGCTAGACCATATGGGACCCCAGATTTGTTACTTGTTTATAAAGGAAGGAACCAGTATGGTCAGCCTCAGTGCAACTGAACCGCAACACTGTAACTCGATCTTTGTGTCAGTTAAACAGCGCCATCATCCATGATATTGGATGAAAAGGAGAAAGCCGAGCCAGCCAGGAGTCGAACCTAGAATCTTCTGATCCGTACTCAGACGCGTTATCCATTGCGCCACTGGCCCACGGTTACCTTGCGCACAATACAAGCATGGCTCCACATGACTCTGTGGTTAGGAGAGTTCTCATTATGCCCGAAAAAGAACCTGGATGAAGCTGAGTCTTCTGTCCCAACGTTACTCTACAGGTTGAGTCAGGGAGATCTTACCACATCAGAATGTTTTACACTGGAGAATGGCTGCTAGGTACAAACTAGGACCATATTCAGAGTAAAAGAGCAACACGGAAAGGTCCATGCCGTGACCGCTCGGATTAACCCTGGGTTGCTGCGGCCACAACGCAGAGTACTAACCACTATACGATCACGGCTTCTCAAGTCAGTGGGTTTGGTAAAGTTGTTATAAAACAATCTCTGTGCTGAAGCTTGGGGCAAAGTAGGTACAAACTACAAACTAGGACCATATTCAGAGTAAAAGAGCAACACGGAAAGGTCCATGCCGTGACCCGGATTCGAACCGGGGTTGCTGCGGCCACAACGCAGAGTACTAACCACTATACGATCACGGCTTCTCAAGTCAGTGGGTTTGGTAAAGTTGTTATAAAACAATCTCTGTGCTGAAGCTTGGGGCAAAGTAGGTACAAACTACAAACTAGGACCATATTCAGAGTAAAAGAGCATACTGGGATAGAGAGATACCGTCCCTTTTTCGCTAGATACAGACTATGAGCAGATTCAGATTAAAAGAGCAATGTGGAAAATCTATGCCGTGACCCGGAGATGAAAGGCGGTTGCTGCAGACACAAAGCGAAGTAACGACCATCATAAGATGCACCCTGCAATCTGACTGATATCTGGCAGAAAAGCAGTTGCTGGTTGGAAAACAGGACTTAGAACTCTGTCCCTTGCCCATCATGAGGATAGGCAAAGCAAAGCAGAAATTTTAGGTTAAGCACTATTTCCCATACCGGGAGTTGAACCCGGGCCACCTGGGTGAAAACCAGGAATCCTAACCGCTAGACCATATGGGACCCCAGATTTGTTACTTGTTTATAAAGGAAGGAACCAGTATGGTCAGCCTCAGTGCAATATTTGAGTTGGGCACACTGTAACTCGATCTTTGTGTCAGTCAAACAGCACCACTATCCATGATATTGGATGAAAATGAGAAAGCCGAGCCAGCCAGGAGTCGAACCTAGAATCTTCTGATCCGTAGTCAGACGCGTTATCCATTGCGCCACTGGCCCACTGTTACCTTGCGCACAATACAAGCATGGCTCCACATGACTCTGTGGTTAGGAGAGTTGTCATTATGCCCGAAAAGTAACCTGGATGAAGCTGAGTCTTCTGTCCCAACGTTACTCTACAGGCTGAGTCAGGGAGATCTTACCACATCAGAATGTTTTACACTGGAGAATGGCTGCTAGGTACAAACTAGGACCATATTCAGAGTAAATGAGCAACACGGAAAGGTCCATGCCGTGACCCGGATTCGAACCTGTGTTGCTGCGGCCACAACGCAGAGTACTAACCACTATACGATCACGGCTTCTCACGTCATTGCGTTTGGTAAAGTTGTTATAAAACAATCTCCGTGCTGAAGCATGGGGCAAAGGGGTCACACGTTCTGACTGGGATAGAGAGATACCATCTCTTTTTCGCTTTCCCAGTGGCAACGTTCACAACCATGCAGAGCTTTGAATTCGTGGATGTCAATAAACAGCTTTCTCCAGAACTTTAGGTGGGGTAAGAGAGAGCCTGGTCAGCCCGGGATGGAAAGCTGAGTCTTCTGACCCGTGATTCCTCTGCGGTTTGTCTCAGGGAGATCCTACCACATCAGGCTTTCCCACTGGAGAAGGGCTGCTAGATACAGACTATGAGCAGATTCAGATTAAAAGAGCAATGTGGAAAATCTATGCCGTGACCCGGAGATGAAAGGCGGTTGCTGCAGACACAAAGCGAAGTAACGACCATCATAAGATGCACCCTGCAATCTGACTGATATCTGGCAGAAAAGCAGTTGCTGGTTGGAAAACAGGACTTAGAACTCTGTCCCTTGCCCATCATGAGGATAGGCAAAGCAAAGCAGAAATTTTAGGTTAAGCACTATTTCCCATACCGGGAGTTGAACCCGGGCCACCTGGGTGAAAACCAGGAATCCTAACCGCTAGACCATATGGGACCCCAGATTTGTTACTTGTTTATAAAGGAAGGAACCAGTATGGTCAGCCTCAGTGCAACTGAGCTGCAACACTGTAACTAGAACTTTGTGTCAGTCAAACAGGGCCATTATCCATGCTATTGGATGAAAAGGAGAAAGCCGAGCCAGCCAGGAGTCGAACCTAGAATCTTCTGATCCGTAGTCAGACGCGTTATCCATTGCGCCACTGGCCCACGGTTACCTTGCGCACACTACAAGCACGGCTCCACATGACTCTGTGGTTAGGAGAGTTCTCATTATGCCCGAACAAGAACCTGGATGAAGCTGAGTCTACAGTCCCAACGTTACTCTACAGGTTGAGTCAGGGAGATCTTACCACATCAGAATGTTTTACACTGGAGAATGGCTGCTAGGTACAAACTAGGACCATATTCAGAGTAAAAGAGCAACACGGAAAGGTCCATGCCGTGACCCGGATTCGAACCGGGGTTGCTGCGGCCACAACGCAGAGTACTAACCACTATACGATCACGGCTTCTCAAGTCAGTGGGTTTGGTAAAGTTGTTATAAAACAATCTCTGTGCTGAAGCTTGGGGCAAAGTAGGTACAAACTACAAACTAGGACCATATTCAGAGTAAAAGAGCATACTGGGATAGAGAGATACCGTCCCTTTTCGCTTTCCCAGTGGCAACGTTCACAACCATGCAGAGCTTTGAATTCGTGGATGTCAATAAACAGCTTTCTCCAGAACTTTAGGTGGGGTAAGAGAGAGCCTGGTCAGCCCGGGATGGAAAGCTGAGTCTTCTGACCCGTGATTCCTCTGCGGTTTGTGTCAGGGAGATCCTACCACATCAGGCTTTCCCACTGGAGAAGGGCTGCTAGATACAGACTATGAGCAGATTCAGATTAAAAGAGCAATGTGGAAAATCTATGCCGTGACCCGGAGATGAAAGGCGGTTGCTGCAGAAACAAAGCGAAATGTACGACCATCATAAGATGCACCCTGCAATCTGACTGATATCTGGCAGAAAAGCAGTTGCTGGTTGGAAAACAGGACTTAGAACTCTGTCCCTTGCCCATCATGAGGATAGGCAAAGCAAAGCAGAAATTTTAGATTAAGCACTATTTCCCATACCGGGAGTTGAACCCGGCCACCTGGGTGAAAACCAGGAATCCTAACCGCTAGACCATATGGGACCCCTGATTTGTTACTTGTTTATAAAGGAAGGAACCAGTATGGTCAGCCTCAGTGCAAATGAACTGCAACACTGTAACTCGATCTTTGTGTCAGTCAAATAGCGCCATTATCCATGATATTGGATGAAAAGGAGAAAGCCGAGCCAGCCAGGAGTCAAACCTAGAATCTTCTGATCTGTAGTCAGACACGTTATCCATTGCGCCACTGGCCCACTGTTATCTCGCACACAATACAAGCACGGCTCCCCATGACTCTGTGGTTAGGAGATTTGTTATTATGCCCGAAAAATAACCTGGATGAAGCTGCGTCTTCTGTCCCAACGTTACTCTACAGCCTG